TGTTTGAGCAGGGCAGGAAAAGGGTCGAGTTTGACACTTRAAAAGCTGAAATCTCATGTTTTGTCGCAGATTATTGTAGGTCAATAAAACAAATGGCAAATGTATAATGATTGATATTATTCTTTTCTTGGTCAAGTGTGATGCCGTTCGCGTCAGCTGTTAATATCATGGACTGTTTCTTCTATGACGGAGTAAAGGTAAGATCACTTAATAGACCTATCCCGAATTCGCTTGACTGACCATACCACGAGACAATGGTTTGAAGTCGAGACTGAACTTGCTTCTTTTATTCATCAAGTCCAACCTCGACTTAAAACCATTGTTTCGTGACCAGTCAAGCGAATTCGGGATAGGTCTATTAAGTGACCATGATGTTTTCTAGCATCTTGAATGGCTAATTTTTTTTCTCGCGCAATTTCATTGGTCTGGCAGTGCCGTGACTTTGGCGTGATTTTGTCCGCGCCGTGTTCGTGCCGTGTTTCGGGCATTTGATTGGATGAGGAGTAAATTCTTGCGCGATGTGATTGGTTTGGCGTATRCATTGCCGTGTCACGACCGTGTTTGTACCCTGAGCTTTTCACAGTCATACGAAAACTGCTTTATCTGTTTCCGTCAGGTTCTTTTCCAAATAGCTCTTAACACTCTTGAAGTTAACAAAACCAAACTCCTGGCCGTGGAGGATGATGGGGAGGCTATGACCATATTAGGTGCCTACTTAGAACACGTGACCAACCRAGACGCCAGCTCGCAAGCAATGACGATGACTGTGAATAACCGTAGCATTGATGTTCCTTTTCCAGGGGTATGGAGAAGTTAGTCTGTTGGCCACTTACATCTGTTCAATCGTCAAATATTAGCTGTTCAGTTAGAGTGCATGCCATATATTCGTGAAAAAAATAWAAAATAACTGGACAAATCGTACAAGTTAGGTTTACTGAACTTACTAAATTATGCATATTTGTGCAATGTCTTGTAAAGTTTTGGTATGCACCGTACGAGAGTCAGATATCAATCAGCATTGACTGAACAGTTTGTGTTTGACATGTGAAGTAATGTAGTATTGAGAGCGGTCAATCTTGTTAAACAGTACAGTGAGGCTCGTTCAAGATGTAAGGACGTAAGGATTAAAGAGTAGCACTACATCCCCCCCCTTCCCTCGTGGAAAAGAAATGTTGGACACTACTTCCACCTATTCTACAACAGAATAATAGTATTAATAATGATAATAATAATAATGATAATAATAATAATAAAAACACATCATTAGAAAAACTCTCATGATTACTAGATTCTTGATTTCTTTTTTCCCTTTTAATTGATTTATTTTATTTTTTTATTTTAATCATACTTTAACATTCATAAAAGATAGGACCATCGTTTTCTTTGCATAATTTCGCGCTCTAAATCATGTAAGCAGGTGTTGCTTTATGCCCCCCCCCCCNTCTCCTTGGAACTGCACACATCATTAGAAAAACTCTCATGATTACTAGATTCTTGATTTCTTTTTTCCCTTTTAATTGATTTATTTAATATTTTTATTTTAATCATACCTCGTATTGTAAATATATTCTTGTTTTCCCAAGGCCCATGGATTGGACTCAGTAAGCTAAGAATTTTGTAAGCAAAATTGAAGCAAATTGTAAATAAAGACAATAATAATAATAATAATAATGATAATAATAATAATAATAATAATCGAAATACAACAAAGTAGAGCACTTTAACATTCATAAAAGATAGGACCATCGTTTTCTTTGCATAATTTCGCGCTCTAAATCATGTAAGCAGGTGTTGCTTTATGCCCCCCCCTCCCCTCCCCCCTTTGTCATTACATTGCCTTATCTTACTTATGGTTTGTTTGGTTTAGTATTCCACGTCTGTAGATGTATCAAACCTCATCCTCGAGTCATATCAGAAGTTTGGTTTCATAACCGGAGAAAGTATCGAGTCGATGAGAAATGTCCAGAGACTAAGAGTCGTTCAGGTACGATACGTAACCCTTACTCTGCTATATGTTGTTATCTTCTTGTCTCAGTCAACAAGTCCCAATATCCAAGCCGTGAAGGTGGGGTGACACCAGAAGTCCAGGGGTGCTTACCATTTAAATCCATCTGGGCCCGGTTGTACGAGAGGTAAATAGCGCGACCCAAAGGATAACTCCTTATCCAGTGGATAGGTCGATGCTGTTGTCCAATAAATGTACCCACTGGATAAGATTTATCCCTCAGATAGCGCTATCCACCCTTCGTACAACCGGGCCCTGGTTGGAAATTCATTTGCTAATGGTAAGTAAAGAGCGGGAAACTTTGACTTCCGGCAAATGGTACACGCGTCTACYGGAAGAACCGAAATGAACGGGAAARGTGGATTACTTCAATAGCAAGACTGAGATTTCCGTAGCTTTCCAATTGGAATGATACATACCATTTGTTTTCCAACCGGAATTTCCGGTGTTTCCGAAAAAATGGAAAGCGCCCCGTGACCCGTCTCTTTTGCGACTAGCCCCACTAGGACCTGAGTATGCTCACTATAACAGCAAAACAAAAGATGTGTTTCCTGGTTGATCTGTGTATGTCTTTTCATCTTCTACTATAGGGGCTGGAGGATAGCATGAGACGCACCGTTGTACGGTCAATAGGAGCTGAAAGTTCTGCTTTCAATCAAAAGGAGCTTGAAAGACTGTATGCTGTATTTAAAGTAAGCAGCTAGGGCAGCTAGGGGTAGGATCTTGGGTGGGGTTTCTGCCAGTTT